ACATACTCCCAGAAATTTGTTCTTGGTGATATATGTGCTTCCCCTCCCTTTTTATCACTAGAGAGATAAAAGATGTCAATAAACCAAGCTTTACAGAAACTTCCCTTACTGTGATGGAATTAAGGGATGTGTAGCCCATCCTTTTAAAGTTATTTGGTTTATTAGATCATTCATAAGGGCCATTACATTGTTTCTACATCATATCATTACATGCATACATTTTGGGGTGACACAATTCAGTGTATGACACTTTCCAAATTATGTTAAACTACTTCAGGTTTAAAAATAAATATCTGAATACTCTATGACCCAGCATTATGCTTTTTAGAAAACTACACGTAAACAGAACTGCCTAGAATTATAATACTGAAGAATGTTGTGGGCAAAATCTTGATGATGCAGAAAGCATTTTTTTTTTTTTAAATAGCAGGAATGTAGAGTCACTATACCAAAAAGAATTGGTCAATACTGAATCATTTCAAGAAGCATCATATAGTCAAGAACCATTGATAATAAAGAAGTTCCATATACATTGAAGTCATTGACAAAATTAAGTTCCGAGGAACTGAAATACAAATTGAGGTGTTTCAACAAATTAATGCAGTACTGGTTGTATTCATTAGAGTATGCCAAGAAGTTTGCAAGACTGTTACTTGACCACCTAACTAGAAGAGATCCATATTGATTCTCATGCAAAAATTATGATCCCACAGAGACCATAAAGATTGAACACTATCATTAATATTGTTGTTGTTGTTGCTATGTGCCGTCGAGTCGTTGTGACTCATAGCGCCCCTATGTACAACAGCCCTAAACCGTGCTATATTACATGCAAATAGAATCTTGCTAAAGATTATTTATAAAAATGTTGGAATAGTGTGTCAACCAACAGTGAAGTGCCAAGCATTCAAACTGGATTCAGAAGATGCTATGAAATGAGAGCGTTGCTGATATCAGATGGAGTCTAGCTGAAAGAGGCTATCATACTTACTTGAGTTTTATTGACTATGCAAAAGCATTTGACTACATGGATCAATACAAATTATGGATAACATTGAGAAAGATGAGAATTTTGGAACACATAATTGGACTCTTGCAAAGCCTGGACCAGGAAGCAGTTGGCCAAACAGAACAAATATTGCATGGTCTAAAATCAGGGAAGGTATGCATCAGGTTTGTATCCTTTCTCCATGCCTGTTAAATCTATATGCTAAGATGGGGTATATAAAGAAGAATGTAGTATCAGGATTGTAGAACTGATTGTATCATCTGTATTATGCAGATTATTAATCTTGCTTGCAGAAAGTGAAGAGGATTTGAAACACTTGCTGCAGCAGATCTAAGACTACTATATGGGTTACATCTCAATATCAAGAAAACAAACATCTTGACTATCATCATGAAAGAGAAAGACTGAAGTTGTCAATAATTTCATTTTATTGAATGTACAATGAACACCCATGGCAGCAGCAATCAAGAAATCAAAATGTGTCACTGGGAAAAAAAAAATGTGTCACTGGGAAAACGTATTGTCATATACATCTTTAAAGTGTAAAAAAGAATATAATTTTAAAGACTAAGGTGTGCCTTTTTCAGACCATGGTATTTTCATGCTTTGTATGGATCAGAAAAATTAAATTGAAAAGTCATTGCCTTTTAATTGTGTGTTGACCAGGTATCAAATACTCCATGGACTACTGAAAGAGCACATGTATCTGTCTTGGAGTAAGTGCAACCTGGGTGCTCCTTAGAGGCAATGATGGTGAAACTTTCTCACATACTTTGGGCATGTTGTATGGAGGGCTCGTCCTCAGAAGAAGGCCTCATGCTGGGAAAGGTGGTTGTTGTTTTGTTATGTGCCATCGAGTTGCCTACAAATCATAGCGACCTTGTGTACAACAACCCTAAAACTTGCTCTATCCTGTGCTAATCTTATTGTCTCTGACACAAGTACCCCCCATTACTCCAGTCACTGAATAGATCCATCTCATCGAGGGTCTTCCTCTCCTGCACCATCCTTCCCCCTCCGAAGCATGACAGCCCTCTCAAAGGACTGGTCCCTCCTTGCAACATGTCCAAAATATGTCAGACGAAGCTTCAGAATCCTTGCCTCCAAGAAGCAGCCTGGTTTAACTCTCCAGGACGAACCTATTCATTCTCTTAGCAGTCCATGGTATATTCAGTACCCTTCTCCAGCACAAAGTTCAAAGGCATCAGTTCTCTTTCTGTCATCCCTAGCCACTGTCCAGCTCTCTGATGCATAGCAAGTGATTGCAAAGACCATGGCCTGGATAAGGTGCATCTTAGTCTCCAGATTGATATCATTGCTCTTCAGTGCTTTAGAGAGGTTCTGACAGTAGACTTTCCTAATGCAATACATCTTTTCATTTCCTGGCTACTGGTGCCAAGAGTGTTGATTGTGGAACCAAGCATACTGAAGCTGTCATCAATCACAATCTCTTCACCATTCATTCTGATGCTGCCAGTCAGCCCAGTGGTGAGAATCTTTGTTTTCTTGATATTGAGCTTCAATCTATATTGAAGGCTGCAGTCCTTGACTTTCTGCAGCAAGCGCTTCAGGTCTTCCTCAGTTTCAGAAAGTAGGGTTGTGTCGTCTGCATAATGCAGATTGTTGATGAAACTTCCTTCAATCCTGATGTCACACTTCTCCTCATAGTGAAGATTATCCAGCCTCCTGGATAATCTCGTCCACATATAGATTGAAAAGATCTGGAAATAGGACACATCCTTGGCATAAAACCTTCCCAAAATCAATGCTCAAAATGGATTGACATAGTAACTATAACAACGTACTTGAACACTGGAGATTGTTAGGATGGTGGAGGACAGGTCAAGGTTCTGATTTGCTGTTCATATGGTCACAATGAGTTGTACCTAAGTCAGTGTTGCCTAGATGGCGCACGTATATGTATGATATTAAACTGACAACAACTCAAAAGATTAGAAACTTTTGGGGGCAATGAGTTTATGTTAATGGAAGAGGAAGAGAATGTACAACCAGAAAAAAATGTAATCAGCACCATTGTCACCATATTGTATCCTGGCAACAAGTCATCTTAGTGTCCTTGGTTGTTGATGGCTTTGACAGCTTTGAAGAATACTACTGATAAGATGTGTGTTTGCTTTATAATGCCCATCTACTTGGGTTTATCTCTTGGTTAGAATGAGATGATGAGTTTAGGGGAGGTAGCCTAGTGATAAGGAGCTTCTCTGCAATCCCAAAGGTGTAGGGTTTGATTCCACCAGCTGCTCTGCAGGGGAAGGATGGGCATTCTCCTCCCATGCAATTAATTGCCTCAGAACCTGCCACAGGTTTCAGCTGTGGGCCATTTCTGACTCAGCAGTACACAGCAACAACCATCACCACAGAAAAGCCATTCTTATCACACAACAAGGGTCTATATACTGTCAGTCCATTAATCACTAGTGCTGTTCACCTGGCTATGAAAGTATTTGTGAGATTTTTCCACTATAAAGTTACTTCTCCTACTGTTAACACTTTGTTTGGAATCCACTATAAAGTTACTTCTCCTGCTGTTAACACTTTGTTTGGAAGCAAGTGACTAGAGCGGTACACACTTAGGAATCAGAATTAAGATCTGCCTCCTGGAGGGCAGTATTTACATAAATTCTTTGGAATTCTTCTGTAAAAATGTAAGCCTTCTCTTTTTTTATTTACCGAAAAGTAAAGAGTTGGATTCTATGCCTCATTTTTCTCTTTTGCCTTATTCCATATGTCCTGATGATATTTAAGTGCTTTTTTCCTCACACTAATTTCTTTCTTCCCTTTTAAATGATTACTATAGAACCTAGTTTTGGTAGATCTTCTTTCTAACCTATAATAGATTAGTGTGGTTTAAAAAACATGAATACAGTTGATAGCTCACCATTTGTGGTATAAAGTATTGATTTACCGTAACAGTTTTTTAGATAGATTACTTTCTCTTGAAGAGGTAATTCCTGCTTCTGTATGTTTTCACTTCCGTCATCTATCTTTCCTTTCCAAATATGGGGGAGGGGCAGTGTGAAAGACTGGCAATAGCAAGAGATTTAAAGAAAGATCTAAGTCCTGGCTGTGTACCACTACTAGCTCTATCTCCTTGGACAAATTGAGGGACTTCAGGAAGCTAGAAAAACTGAGTTAAATTATTAACTGGTATCTACATGCTGGATAAGAAACTGAATGAGACTTTTAAGATGACTAATAAGGTGGCCTAGTGGCAAGGAGCTGCATTGCAAACCCAAAGGGAGGTTGTTCAAATCAAACAGCTACTCAGTGGAAGAAAGACAGGCAGTCTCCTCAAGTGCAGTTACCTATTGGAAGGTCAGCTCGGAGATGGTTCTGACTTGATGATACATAACAATAACAACAGTCCAGAGTTCAAAAGACTAGGAAATGATGAAATTTTAAGAACTGTAGCCATTGATGATGTTGTTGCGGGCCACGAACAGAAGACCTGAGCACTGCTCATAGACTTTCCGGAGGCAATCCATTTCGGAAGTGGATGCCACTCCTGCTTCGAAGTTTGTTTTAATTGGGGAGCTTCACCAAACAGTGTAAGCACTGGGTAACCATTATCGCATTTGACACATCAGTGTCACAGTGTTTAGCATCACAGCAACTACAAGTTACTTCTGTACAGCAATGCACAGACCAGTGGTACACCATTTAGAAGAATGTTTGACAAAAATCAATTAAAACCAGGCCTCAGTGCTGCAGATTAAAATCACTCACCTTTGGCTTGGTAGTATAACTTTCTATCCACTAGGCCAACAGAGCTCTATGTTGTTAAGTGCCATTGAGTCATAGACAACTCACAGTGACCCTCTGAATGAAAGACTTTTGGCTAAAATAGTTGGCCTTAACAAATGGTGAATGAAAGCTGTATTTAAATATATATTTACTTTTCTAACCTTTTATCATCTACAGGTCTCACGTATTTTGTATTATTATTTTTCCTCTTGATCCTTGGAACAAGATGGCAACTTCATCTACTTTCTTTTCTGATTATGGGCTGCTGTGGTATTTGGAGAAGTTGGACAAAGAAGAGTTCAAAAAATTTAAGTTTCTCCTAAATGATGAGGTTGTGGAACCTGGGCGGCAAAAGATACCATGGGGTGAAGTGAAGAAGGCCAGTAAGGAGGACCTGGCTAACCTGATAAGCAAGTATTATCCAGAAAAGAAGGCCTGGAAAGTGACTTTGAAAATATTTGACAAGATTGGCCTGAAGCATTTGTGTCAGCAAGCAACAGCAGAGATGAGCTGTGAGTGATGCTAGGGACAGATCTGAGGGTGTGCAAGCGTATTTCGTCCTGCCGATTAGGATGACTCTATAAGAGGCTCTTGGGGATTAAACCATGTGGTGGGACACGGTAGTTATATACATTAAGGGCTTGTTGGATCATTTGAGAACCACAGAAAGGGCAAGAGAATTCTGAGTACAATTGATCCTTGAACAACGTAAGTTTGAACTTCAAGGACCTACTTTAACTCAGATTTTTATATTTTCTGCTTGCTGTTGTGGTGAGCCTCATGTGTTGCTGATTATCTCTTGTAGAGCGGTTTGTCTCCCCCTGGAAAACTGTTCATGCAAAAATTACTAGCTTTACATAGTCTTTTAATCAGATATTTTCAGTACTTGAGCTCTTGAAATTCAAATCCCTGTTGTTCAAGAGTCAACTCAAAGTTTTATGTAGACTTCAAGGGAGGTTGGTACCTCTAACCATCTCACTGTGAAAGGATCAACTGTACTGTTAAGTTTGCCTGGCTCCTTAATGGGGCTAACTAATTGAGTGATAATTGTCCTTTCATCCACTGTGATTTTTTTTTTTCAAATTTAAAGTCATAAATTAGGCTAAAATTGTGAGTCCCAAGTGAGATTATTCTATCTTTTTTTTAAAATATGATAAATGAGCTAGACAAATCAGAATTTCTAGTCATGATCTAGTATGATATATTATAGTCTGGCTTTCTAAAATCTCATACTCTTGTTGGCCCTATAGCTGCAATTATCTCAAGCTTCTCAGGGCTTGAGGGATTAGCTGAAACATTAAAGGGGCAAAAGGAATGGATTAGCTGAAACATTAAAGGGGCAAAAGGAATGGATTAGCTGAAACATTAAAGGGGCAAAAGGAATTTTGGTACAGATGGCCCTTGAACACCATGACTTTGAACTTAAAGTGTTTACTTATACTCACAGACTGATGTCTTGAATAGATTCCTTGTCCTAGAGTTCATGGCAAGAGATTGCCAATTTTATTGTTTGTGCTACCTCAATTGTTTCTGCAGCCATAGTGGTAGAGTCTAAGATTCTGCTAGCTATAGTTTTCTTAGCAATGGAGTTGAACCACTGAAATAAAAATGTTGGTCCCTATTATGGCGGTAACCAAAGCTGCCCTTGTTGTTAAGTGCCGTTGAGTTGTAGGCGACTTATAGCAACCCTAAGAACGAAAGACCTGGGCACTTGTGTAACTTTCATCCTTTCTGCAAGTTCATAGGGTTTCTGGAGGCAAGCTGTTTTGGAAGTGGATGCCATTCTTGCTTCCAAGCTTGTTTTAATCGGGGAGTTCCACCTAACACTGTCCACCATGGGTAATCAATCTTGAATTTGACACATCAGTGTCAATAGTGTTCAGCTTCACAGCAACTACAAGTTACCTCTGTACGGCAAGTGGACAGACCAGGGGTATACGACCTAGAAGAATGTTTCACCAAAAAAAATTAAAAGCAGGCCTAAGGGCCGCAGATGAGAGCACCCAGCTTTGGCTTTGGAACATCACTTTTTGTCCACTAGGCCAACTGATCTCTCTCTATGCTGTTGTTGTTAAGTGCCGTAAATTCCAGAATCTGTTGTGATGAGTCTCTTCTATTTCATGTTGTAGCAATAGTTCAGACCATGAAACCAGAGGACACCATGGAAGTTGAGGGAGGTGAGGAGGCAGTGCTGGGTGAGTAATGAATTCTGAGAAAAGTTAACTTGTGGGCAAAAGATGACTCAGACTTAACTAACTAAAGATGAAGGCATATTATTCTACTTGTTGTTGGAATACTGTAGATTCAGAACTGACCCATTGCTGACCTTCCAGCAAATTTTCAGAGTCATTTAATCACACAGGAGGAGACTGCCCATCCTTCTCCCATGGAGGACTTGGTGGCCTTGAGGCATATGCCTTCAGGATTTCAATGCAGCTTCTCACCACTAGGCCACCAGAGCTCTAGGATACTTTTTAGCTGTTGTTGTCAGGTGCTATCAGGTTGAATATGACTCCTAACGACCCTGTGAACAAAACATCTGAACCCAGTTCTATTCCTGTGCCATCCTCACACTTACTGACACATAAGAGCCCATTGCAGCAGTCACCACATTAGTCCACCTGCTTGACACTGTTCCTCTCCTTCTCCAATCTCTTTCCTTCCCAGCATCATGTCCCTCTCTATGGAATAGCCTCTCCTAACAACATGCCCAAAGTATGTGAGTTGATGCCTCACCATTGTTGCCTCCCAAGAGTATTCTGGCTGCATCCTCTCCAAGACATATCTGTTGTCTTTGCCATCCCTGGGATGTTCAGTGCTCTTATCTAACACTACAGCTCAATCAGTTCTTTTTCTGTCATCCTTAATTCATTGTCCAGCTCTCAGATTCATAACAAGTGATTGGAATGACTATGGCCTACATCAGTGTACTTGATTCTTTAAACTGACATCATTACTCCTCAAGAATTTGGAAAGGTACCTAACTGCAGATTTTCTCAGTGCAGTACTTTCTCCCTTTTCCTCAATATTCTTCAGACTATGCTTCAGTCAGTATTTGTCTGATTTTTTTTTTAAAGTATACAGAGAATTTTTTTCTCCTATAGATTCAAATATATTTTCAGCACCTTCATGATTATTATGTCTAATAACTGCTTTGGCTTTTTATATAGATGACTGTTTTCTATATCTTTTTAAAAGAAGTATAAAGGAAATGTTTGTAGAATGTCTCATTTTCATTTTTATCACTAGTTTTTATCTGCATTATTATTTCCTACACTTCTAATGCATATTTCAATTCTACAAGAATGTTTCTGCCTTATTTCTTCCCTAAGCTAACTTCACTTTGACTTCAGCCTTGTTTCTTGTTCATAACTCAGAATAACAGTATTTTGAACAATTATAGAATTTGTTTGGTCATGTGTAACCATTCTGGTTTTTTTTTCCTGCCCCTGCTCCATTCTAACTAAGGTGATGGCACAGAATACAAAAGTCACATACAAGCCAAGTTCGGCACCATGAGGAACAAGACTCATTTGCTTGGAGAACCTGAAGATTTCTATCACAAAATCATTCAAGAAAATCAAGAACTCTTGGAACATTTGTTTGATGTGGATGTCAAAACTGGTGAGCACTCACCACTCACAGTGGTGCTACAGGGGCCTGCTGGAATTGGGAAAACTACCTTGATGAGAAAGGCAATGTTAGAGTGGGCAGAGGGCAATCTCTATCAGCAGAAATTTGCATATGTTTTCTATCTCAATGCAAGAGAAATTAACAGTATGAGAGAAATGAGCTTTGTTCAACTTCTATCAAAGTACTGGCCTAGCAGAGAAGGCCCTATTGAAAGGATCATGTCCCAGCCAGGTCAGCTCCTTTTTATTATTGATAGTTTTGATGAACTGGACTTTGCTTTTGAGGAACCGGACTCTGAACTGACCAACAACAGGACACAGGATCACCCAGTGTCCTTCCTCATTAGTAGTTTGCTGAGGAAAGCCATGCTCCCTGAGTCGTCCTTACTGATAACAACGAAACCCACCACTTACAAGAAACTGAAATCTTTGTTGAAGAGTCCTCGTTGGGTCGAGCTAGCAGGAATGTCTAAGGATGCAAGAAAGGAGTATATTTTCCAGTTTTTTGAAGACCCAGAGTGGGCCATACAAGCATTCAGGTCATTAAGAAACAATGAAATACTTTTTAACATATGCCAAGTCCCTCTACTGTGCAAAGTCATTTGTACTTGTTTGAAGCAGCAAATGGAAAAGGGAGCCGATATCACTGTGATCTGCCAGACCACCACAGCTCTGTTTACCTGTTTTATCTCTAGCTTGTACACACTTGACGATATAAGCAGTCCTCCTTTACCCAACCAATTCCAACTGAAGAATCTATGCTACTTGGCTGCCAAGGGAATATGGACTATGACATATGTGTTTTACAAGGACAATTTAAAAAAGCATGGATTAAAGCATGATGATATTTCAGTTTTCCTGAACATGAATATTCTTAAAAAGGATTTAGATTATGAAAATTGCTATACATTCACCTACCTACACGTTCAGCAATTTTTTGGAGCTATGTTCTATGTAGTAAAAGGCAATTGGCAAGTGAAGGACCTTTCTTATCAGCCTTTTGAAGACCTAAATCAGTTCCTTGACAGCGAAGACATTCATTTGAGGCAGATGAAATACTTTTTGTTTGGCTTGGTGAATGAATACATAATAAAACAACTGGAGAAGATATTTAAATGTAAAATGTCACTGGATCTAAAGTGGGAGTTAATTGAGTGGGCAGGAATATTAGCAAACAGTGGACGTCCTCCAGCAGAGTTGAGATTACTGGAGTTGTTCTATTGCTTGTATGAGACTCAGTATGAGCCATTTCTAATCCAAGTAATGACCCATTTCAAAACGGTTGACATTAATATTTGTGAGAAAATCCATTTGCATATGTCTTCATTCTGCCTTAAGTACTGCAGCTTTCTACAGACTGTTAAACTGTCTGCAAACATGGTAGGGGAGGAAATGCTAATGTCACCAGATGAAGCTTGGTAAGTATGTTAGGTCAGTTCCCTGGAAGTATACCTTGTTGGGGTGTGAAGGAAGTAGATTGTGTCAGAGGAAATAGTTATTATAGCTGAGACCCAAGAGTTGGGATGGCCCTTCAGAGTATTTCACTTTAAGGTGAGGAGGCCAGCCAGTGAAACCCACTTATTGACCAGACATATCTACTGGTAGTGAATGGGTGAAAACTTGAATGAAATTATTCTTAACCTGAGGGCAATGCCAAGAGAGGATCTTGTCTGGAGGTTATTAGTTGTCCCTTGTACATTCCCAGTAAATGGGGGATGTAGTAGTGCAATTACACATCCATGATAGTAAATACAATTCCTTTTTAAAAATAATGCCCTCCATAGAATAAAGGACTAGAGATGCCTTCCTGCAAAACCTGCTATACTTCGATGGTATCTGGACTATGTTCTGCTATTCTTTGCTGATTTTGCTAACTTTTTCTGTTGTCTAGATAGAATCTGTGTTTTACAATTTATGAAAACATTTGGCTGAGAGATAGGCAGACAAATAATAAAGGCTGAATAAATAGATGGCTTATTTAAAGTGTAAGTTTTATGTATATTTTATCATGTACTCACTTTTATTCTTTATTACCCTTAATTTATTATGTGTCTATTAATAATAGCCTAATAATTATAATTTCAAGAGTATGTGTATATATTGTTAGTTGCCGTTGAGTATAACTCACAGCGACCCTACAAACAACGGATCTGAACCCTGCCCAGTTCTGTGCCATCCTCATCATCTGATATACGTGAGCCCATTGTTACACTCACTGTGTCATTTCAGCTCATTGAGGAGGGTAGTTATCTTTCAGTGACCTTCCAGCTTTCCAAACATGTCATTTTCTAAGGACTAGCCCTTAACAAATGTCCAATGTATGTGAGATGAAATTTCACTATCCTTACCTCTAAGGAGCATCCTGGTTGCAATTTCTCTCAAGATAAACTTGTTTATTCTTTGAGCAGTGCATGGGATATTCACTACTCTTCTCCAAAACCACAGCTCAAAGGCATCTGTTGTTGTTCTGTCATCTTGAATCATTGTCCAACTCTGATTCATAGGAAGTAAATGAAAAGACCATGGCTTATATGAGGTACACCTTAGTCTTTAAACTGACATAATTTTTCTTTAGCATTCCTTTTATAAAATCCTTAAAACTCTATGAAAGGTGATGCCATTTCTATTTTGGGAAAAATGTTAGCTAAAGAAACTCACTGACTTAAAAATAATATAGCTAGTAAATGGTAGAACTGGGGCTCAAGGTCCATGACTCTCTATAAAACCATCCCCTAAACTGAGGAGGACCTGAAGTGCTTGCTGCAGAAGGTTGAGGACTGGAGCCTTAAATATGGATTGAAGCTCAACATCAAGAAAACAAAGATTCTCACCACTGGGCCAATTAGCAGCTTCATGATGGACAGTGAAGGGACTGAGATTAACAGCTTCAATTTGCTTGGCTCCACAGTCAACACTCTTGGTACCTGCAGCCAGGAAATCAAAAGACAAATTGCATTGGGAAAGTCTGCTGTCAGGGACTGCTCCAGAGTTCTGAAGAGCAACGAGTTTGGAGACTAAGGTGCACCTGATCCAGGCCACGGTCTTCACAATTACTTTCTAGTCATCACAAAGCTGGATAGTGACTAAGGAGTATAGAAGAACTGATACCTCTTGAGGTGTGGTGCTGGAGAAGGGTTTTAAATATACCATGGACTGCTAGGAGAACAAACAGGTTTGTCCTAGAGAGGATGAAACCAGGCTGCTCTTTGGAGGCAAGGATTCTGAAACTTCGTCTGGCATACTTTGGGCATGTTGCAAGGAGGGAACAGACCAGTCTTTGGGGAGGGACATCATGTTTGGTAGGGTAGAGGGACAGCATAAGAGAGGAAGACCCTCGATGAGGTGTAACTGAGGTAATGGGTGTAGGTGTATCAGAGATGACAGGGTTGGCTCAGGATAGAGCAGGTTTCAAAGCTGTTGTACAACCAATTAGTGTAACTGATGGTAAGGTGTACACGTATCGAAAGTCGAACTGGAAAATGTTATGGGAGATATATATAGATGTAAATAAAAAGGGGGGAAGCTGTTGGACATAGGGTCACTATGAGCCACAAGTGACTCAATGGCACAACAATCTTTACCCTTTCGTTTTTCATTCTGCATACTTTTGACATGTTATCAGGAGGGGCTAGTCCTTGGAAAAAGACATCACACTGGGAAAAGGTAGCAGGTCTGTGAAAGAGAACACCTTCAATGATCTAGCTTTACATATTAACTTTAATAATGGGCTTGAACATAACATAGACCTTGAGGATGGCCCAGGATAGGGCAAGGTTCCAATCTGTTGTTCACAGAATCACTCTGTCATAGTTGCCTTGATACCTAATAATCCTCCTAATCCTAATCATCCTTTGTGGTCTATATTTTCTTTCTTGATACTGGCTTCTGTGGTTTGTGAAAATTTTTCTTATGTTCATCCTGAGGCTTTTCAGCCAACATGGAGTTTCTGGTTTTTACTGTGTTGTGGAGGGGATGAACAATAGGGATCCGGGGAGAAAGAGCCTCTGAAGTACCAAGAATAAGTGAAGACTTCCTAGTGGAAGCTCTTGCCATTTCTCAAGTATACTTTCAATCCAGTACCATCTTCAAAGGGTTACTTGGGCTGACAGGGATTCATTAATGGTGGTTTTTCTCCCCCAAAATATTTAGGCAAATAGATTGTGATCACATTACTCAATGCTGGCAAAATTTCTTTTCTGTCCTTCATACGAATGAATTCTTGAGAGAATTGGAGCTGTTTAATAGCAACCTGGATGAATTGGCAACAAAAATTCTTTATGAAGAATTAAAGCATCCAAACTGTAATCTACAAAAACTGCTGTAAGTCTGGCATGAGAAAGCTTAATGGGAGTAGTATAAATTTTTCATTGTCCCATATCTTGCTCCTGCTTATTAGGGGAAACAAATAGTAAATTAATACTCAAAATTCATTGAGAAAAATGGGGTGGGGAATCTATGAGGATATAGAATATAACTAACTTGTTCTTGAAAATAGTCCACATAGCTTACTGATAATGTGTATTTTTGAAGTTCGATTAAAATTTTTCACATGGAGGACTGGGAGCTAAGACATTCTAGGCAGTTCAACAGAGATACCAAGGATATGTTTTGGAACACTGACATATTCCATTGTATCGCTAATTATCTTTTTAATTGACAAAATTAAATTAAATCCAAATATTAAGTGTTCCGTCATTTGTATATGACTTAGTTATCTAGTTCTTCTCTATACCATTAATGGGTGGTTTTAACATATTAGTTTTAACTCACAAGTGAGATTATACTTACAATATGTATTTATTGAGTATCTATAATGATGATTAGTGCTGAGGGTATGTGGTGGGGAGAAAGGAAAAGGGATTCCAAAGGGAGGTTTTTGGATAAAGAGCAGTGTGTACATATTGAATATGGCTAATGTGATACTATAGAAAGATAGTTAAAAGCACTGCAGTTAGGAGATGGAAAGCATAAGAAAAAATGGCAGGTTTAACTTTACTTTTTGCTTTAGTCTGTACATTCAAGAAAGTCTACAGGGTGACCAGATGTATTTTGCCATAATATGTTTACTAATACACACATCTCTTATTGCCATTGTATCAGAACTGATCGATAGGTGACCCTCTGACGGGTCTTCCAAGGTTGTAAATTGCACAGGAATATATTGCCACCTTTATCATGCTGGCAGAGAGGACTGCCTTTGGGTTAGAACAACCAAATCCCTACAGACTAGGACCATGTACAAAATAGTTGCTATCAACTGTGAACTCACTCTGGATTATTTAAAATCTTGCAGTATTTTAAATGTGCCTGATTATTGTGGGGCATCACTCTTGGGATTAAGAACTTGAGAATCTTCCACATTCCCTAATGTTATCTTCAACTGTTTCTGCAAGGTTAAAAATGACAAAAATTGTCAGCGTTTAAATGGACGTCTAAGTTGCAACCCAATTTCTTTTCTAAGCAGTATCTTGAAACTTGAATTTATGGTCTGAACTTCAGTGGGAGAGTCTTGGTGTAGTAAGACATGGCAGAAATAATAGATAATGTCTAAGAATTTGAAAACCAAGAGACAATATATAGGAACAGGTTATTTTATAACACTCCCTGCTTCCTGTTTTCTTCTGAAGGTTGAGGTTTGTTTCTTTCCCTGATAATTGCAAGAGTGTCTTCAATGCTTTAACTCAGAGCCCGAATCTGATACATCTGGACCTGAAAGGGAGTGATATAGGAGATAAAGGACTAAAATTACTATGTGAAGACTTGAAACACCCAGAGTGTAAACTACAGAATCTGAGGTAAGCCTTTGTTATTTACTTAACTGAGATCTCCTCCCCCCCATTCAAGTAGAATATTTCCATTTAACAGTGTCTTCCCCTAACAAATCTTAATGTTTACCTGGTCACCAGATTCAAGAAAGAAACCATCTATATAGACGTGCTGCAAGGGTTTCTTGAACCAATAAGTAGGTTACTTTAATAAAAGTAATTAGAGCTTTGTTGTTTGCTGCCCTGCTAAACTTTGCCACTGCTACTGGGGTGAAAAGGTATCTTATTGTGGTTTTGATTTGCATCTATCTTATTGCCAGTGATTTTTGAGCATTTCTTCATTTGTCTGTTGGCCATCCGAATGTCCTCCTCTTTCCATGTCTTTTGCTTATTTTATAATTGGGTTATCAGTCTTTTTCCCCTGGAGGCCTGGTGGGAACTCTCACACACTGTCAGTGGGATTGTAAAATGGTACAGCCACTCTAAAGGCAGTTTGGCACTTCCTCAAAAAGTTGAACATAGAAGCTCTGTATGACCCAGCTATTCTATTACTGGGAATATACCCCAAGGAAATTAGAACTGGGACACAAATAGAGATCTGTACACCAGTTCATAGTGTTACTCATCGGAAAAAGAATAAGAAACATCCCAAATGTCCAAACACAACTGAATAGATTGAGAAACTGTAGTACACTGACACAATGGAATACTATGGAGGACTCAGGAGCAATAATTTAGAAAATTAGTACATAACTTGGGAGAGACTATAAAGCATTATGCTGAGTGAACCCAGTTTCATAAGGACAAATGCTTCATAAGACTATTATTGTAAAAATAGGATAACTAGTAAAACTTGTATGGAGACCCAAGGAGGGAAGAAAGGGAGCAGAGGGATGATGATGGATAGAGGTGAAACCCAGGGTTGCACAGTTTGGTGGATGGAGGGAGGGAGTGAAGGAAATGGGAAGTACCGAACAGGGACCTAAAAAGACAGGGTAATGATGGCAAGGTCCAATGATGATTAATTTTATAAAACATAATGTAGCATCAGGATTGGAGAAAGACTCATCAACAGCCTGTGTTATTCAAATGACACAACCTTGCTTGCTGAAACTGAGGAGGACGTGAACCACTTGCTGCAGAGGGCCAAGGACTATAGTTTCCAGTGTGGTTTGAAGCTCAACATCAAGAAAATAAATTCTTACTACTGGGCCAATTGGTAGCACGAGGATAGATGGAAAAGAAATTGAGGTTGTTAACTATTATAGTTTTCTCAGCTCCACAATCAACATTCTTGGCACCAGCAGTCAGGAAATCAAAAGATGAATTGCAATGGGAAAATTTTCTGTTAGGGACTTCTCCAGAGTACTGAGAAGCAATGTCAGTCTAGAGACTAAGGTATATCTGATCCAGGCCATGGTCTTCACAGTTATTTGCTATGCATCAGAGAGCTGGACAAAGACCAAGGATGATAGAAAAAGAATTGATGTCTGAGTTGTCATGGTGGAGAGGAGTCTTGAACATGCCATGGGCTGCCAAGAAAACAAATAGATTTGTCTTGGAGAGGGTGAAACCAAGTTTCTCCTTGGAAGCAAAGATTTTGAAGCTCCATTTTTCTATACTTTGGGCACGTGACCAGGAGTGACGGGTCCTTGGAGAAGGACGTCATGCTTGGAAAAGTGGAAGGGAAGAACTGGGCAGGAGAGAAAGACCTCAGTTGAGATGGATTGTTACAGTAACTGGGACAGTGGAGGTGGATGTGTTGAGTCAGTGAGACTAGCTTAGGATAAGGCAGGCTTCAGAACTGTTGTACATAGGATCATTATGAGTTGCAGGTGACTTGACAACACGTAACAATGGGAATGATGGTATGAAACACAATGTGAATGAAGAACAGTGTGAAACAATATATATGAACTTTGTATGCAAATAACAAAATTTTTAAAAAGTCATTAGAGCTTTGTAATAATACCATTCTATCTAGGATTAAATGGTTTTCTGACTCTGGGTGAACATTAGGAAGAAATCAATAGTAGTACTTGTAACATTTCATGCAGGGAAAAGTTGTAGGACTTTATTTGCTTTAGATGTCATGCTTGAAGATTTATGGAGGGTACAATGATCACTAATCTTGTATGTGCAAAGGTCATGTTGATCATGCTCAACTTCTTTAGAATTCCAGTTTAATGTTTTACTTTCTCTACTGTTCTTAAATGGTGTGGACAGTGAAAATGTTAAGCTTTTGACTGCCTGACCTGCCAAATATGATCTCTCATTATCACAGAGACAAGTAAATTTAGACAATTATTTCAGAAAACTAAATTGCTGAGTCTTACATAGCCCTTGTATTAGCACCCTAAAAATGTATCATTTTCATGTGAATATTTCATTGTAATATTAACACTTCAAAAAAAGGAAGAAGAATCTGCTCATCTTGATAGCTTTTTCCACATGTGGATCTGATAACAGGGAAACTCTTATCATACAGTGAGCTATTAGGTTATCTTGCATCCATGTGTCTCACTGTAAAATATTGTTCTGACAATTTAGCAGATTTCTATTGCTAATCTTCATTTTGACAATAAGCAGATGCATTGTTACCACTAAAAAAATTTCTGTGGTCTGTTTTTATAAGATGAGATTCATTTATAATTCTTCTGCAAAATTATAATAATTATTAAATATAAATTGGTCAGGCTTCCCAGAAGGAACTATATGTAAATCAACCTATCTCCACATTTTACTAAATCATGTTTAGGGGGGTCAGTATGATAATTGGCTCTCAGCCTTCTTTTCAAATAATTGATGTATCTATATATATAAATCATATATATATAAATATTATAGATATGATATATATATAAACATAGCTCTCTGAACTTTAGGAAGTAAAAATGTTCTATCGTGATTTTTAAAAAACTCCTATCCCCCTAACAAGCCCTTCTCTCCCCATTTAAACTTTGTTTCCTTCTATCCTTTACACAATTATTGATAGATTAATAATTTAACTTGGTTTGGTGAGAACAGTTGTATACTTATCAGGTGTTTGATCCAAAGAGGTACAGGGGTTGGTTGTGTGAAAAAGGATGAATTTTGGGAACTGATCCCTTTCCCATTTGTTTCTCTTTCAGTTTAGAAAAGTGTGGACTCACAGTGGCTGGTTGTGAGTATCTGGCTTCTGTTCTGATCAGCAATAAAAGGCTGAAATATTTATCCTTAGCAGACAATGCTTTGGGAGATAGTGGAATAAAGCTTATTAGTGGAACCTTAAAACAGCCACAGTGTACTCTACAGAGCCTTGAGTAAGTACCGACTAGTTTTGTCCTAATATGTTTTAAAATATATTTAATAATCTGGTCCTTTCTCCTGTTACTCACAATTGTAATGAAGTTTATAATAACTAAAGATATATTGTGTCCTTACTCTGAGCTGAGCACAGTCCTGAATTTGTTTAATTGGCACAGTAACTGTTGAGGTCAAACTGGCAACTTGAGTTCTAGATGCCTTATTGTACAGATGACAAAAGATTATGCCAACTTCTCTAATGACTTATAACAAGATGATGATGTGTTCAATACTGAAGTCCTCCTATCTGGCTTCCTTGTTTGGTTTCAGAACAAAGCAAAGTACCTAAGAATAACATTAAACAGAAATCTGGTTTCTGACGGTGTGTCTAGATCTGTGATCATTATGCTCATTGCTGTCAGGTAATTTCATAGAGGTGGAAATGTTGGACCAAAATTTTTGTTGGTAACTAATTTTACAAAAAGGTTGTTTATATTCCCAACAGCAATCTAAGGAACTATACTCTAATATCCATATAGAAAATCCACAATCTTCTTACTCAATATTATTCAAAAAGTTGAGCAATAACTTCTAAAATTTATATTTGAACATCTTTTCTAATGCTTTTAAAATTTATATTCTGCTGCTGTTAGATGCCCTGAAGTCTACCGTCACTCATAGAACCTTATGAACAACAGATCTGAACCATACTCTTTCCTGCTCCATCCTCACTGTCGGATATGCTTTAGTCTCTTGTTACCATCATAGCAGTCTTTCTTGTTGAGTCTTCCTCTCTTTTTAATACTCCCTTCTTTTCCCAACTTGATATTATTTTCCAAAGTCTGTCTGTCTCCTGCCCAAAATGTGAGTTTCATCATCTTTACTTCTAGGTGCCCTGGGTGCATTTCTTCTAAGATAGACTTGTTTATTCTTTTTGGCAGTCCTTGGGATATTTGCTATTCTTCTCCAACACCACAATTCAAAGGCATGATTTCTTCTTTTATCCTTAACCATTGTTCAACTTCCAGATGCATAGGAAGCAAATGAAAATACCATGGCTTGGGCCAGGTACATCTTAGTCTTTGAACTAACATCATGGCTCTGTAGCATTTTGGAGAGGTCCTAGACAGCAGATTTTCTCAATAAAGCACATCTTTTTATTTCTTGACTGCTGCTACCATGAGGGTTGATTGTGGACCCAAGTAAAATGAAATTGTTGACAATTTCAGTCTTTTCTATCATGTTAACTATTGGTTCAGTGGTGAAAGATTTTTGTTTTCTTGATACTGAAATATAATCCATACTGAAGGCAGTAATCTTTGATCTATAGCAAATGTTTTAAATCTTCACCTCCAGCAAGCTAGGTTGTGTCATCTGCAAAATGCAGGCTGTTGATGAATTTTCTGCTAATCCAAATGACCCTTTTGCCAATTTCTTTTTCATATTATTCTCAAATTATTTGCTCAGCAAACAAATTGAATAGGTTTGGAGAAGTAATACAACTCTGGCCCACACCTTTCTGATTTGAACCATGCAGTGTTCTTGTTCTGTTTGGACAACTGCTTCTTGATCTGTGTATAGTTCTGCATGTGCACAAATAAGTATTCTAGGATTCTGACTCTTAATGCTACCTATAATTTGTTCAGATCCACACAAATGCCTTTTGAGTAAAACACAAGGAAACCTCTTTCTGGTATTCTATGCTTTCAGCAAAGATTGTTCTGACATCAGCAATGATATTGCAACTATCAGTCTCTTCTGAATTCAGTTTGAATTCCTGGTGGCTCCCGTCAATTTTTAAATACTCTTCAGCACTATTTTACTTGCATGTAATACTAGTGTTAATCTCTTAATTTTTACATTCTATTGGATCACTTTTTTCTTTTTTTTAAATGGAAACAAACATGGATCACTCTTTTAGTAACTTAGTGTAGTAGCTGTCTTCCAAGTTTCTTATCATAGACCCGTAAGAACATGCAGGGCTGCATCTGTTTATTGAAACACATCAATTGGTATTCCATCTACCCTTGCCCCTCCCCCATGCCTTTAGGGCAGCTTGAATTTCTTCAGTGCTATTGGTTCTTGATTATATGTAGCTTCCTGCAGTGGTTCCGTCTCAACTAGTTCTTTTTAGTACTATTACTCTCTGTATTTCTTACCACTTCTTTTGAGGCTTCCTGCATAATTCAAGATTTTGCCTACAGTATCCTTCAGTATTAGAACTTGAGGCTTGAATTTTTTTTCCCCCAGTTCTTTCAGCTTGAGAAATGCAGAGCTTCTCTTTTCCAAATACTGTTCAGCTCTTTAACTTCACCATCTCTTCCCTTTGTTTTGGCTTCTTGATGCTGTATTGCCATTTTCAGGGTCTCCTCTGACATACATTCTGTTATTTTTTCTCTCCTTTCACAGTGACCTTTCGTTTTATCCATGTGTCATGTCATTGGTGTCATTCACAATTTCTTTGGTCTTTGTTCATTAGTGTTCAATGCATCTAACCTTTAGAGATGGTTTTAAAATTCAGGTAGGATAGACTCAAGGTGTTATTGTTTTACTTGCTCTAATTTTCTTCACCTTTAATTTTAACTTGGATATCTGTTCAAATGTAAGAGATTATCTGTTCCACAGTCAGCACTTAACTTGTTCAACTACTGATACTGAGCAAGCTTCTCTATTCATCAGCTCTTCTGATGAATGTCAGTCTGATATTTCTGTAGTCTAACAAGTGACATCCATGTATTTATATTACAAAAAATATCTTTTGTACAAGCTCCCTTTTTCAAGTTTTTGTGACTTGCCAAAAAGTTTAGCAGTGATGGGTTTTACATTATAAGTCACATGTTCACATCTTTTCTCATGCTCTGCTTTCGACTAAGATCTATCTGACATCAACAGTAATATCCCATTCCATGACCTTTTCTGAATCTAGCTTGAATTTCTGGGACTTAGATGCAAATATATGGCTGCAGTCACTTTTAAATAACCTTACACGAGAATTTACTTGTGTGTGATATTGATGATATTGTTTAATTTCTACATTGTTTATTTTGTGTGATGGGAACACAAATATCTCTTCTAGTTAGTTGGCCATATAGCTATCACAAAATTTCTTGGCAGAGGCTTGTGAGTTCATTCCGGGATGCATCTGTTTGACACACAGTTGATAATTTCATTCCTAGGACCTTATTTTTTGCTAGTACTTCATCACAGCTTGGACTTCTTTCTTACCATTGGTTCTTGGTCATATGCTCCTTCTAGAAATAGTTCAGTATCAATCAATTCTTTTTGGTACAGTTACTCTGCATTCTTTCCAACATCTTTTGATGTTTCCTGGGTCCTTAAGTATTTGGCCTGTAGAATCTTTCAAGATTGCATCTCAATGCTTGAATGTTAGTTTGTTCAACTTGACAAATACCAAGAATGTTCTTTCCATTTTGTATGCAAACCAGTATTTTAAAAAATCCCAAAAAAACAAACCCAGCAACATGAAAGTGCATTACCCTAATTTACATCATGGAGAACACACAAAACTCAGGTGGAGTGCGATGCCCCTAGGTGTGTGATCTCTCACTGTGTAGCTATCACAAAGGGCCATCTCTCCACTGATCGACCCTCAACAGCATGCAGTCTCATTTCTAAACTCTTATCAGAAGCCACCTGAGGCACTGGAAGTGATGGTCCAGGGCCAAGCATTGGCTACTCTGGATCCATCCAAGGGCTGCCTCTGAGGGTACCAGCCCATTCTCTATTGAGCATCAACAGTGGTCATACTTCTGTCATGGTTCTTGACTGGGACTCAAGCTGCTCATTAAAACACCAAGCCACTCTTAAATGTCTTTGAAGTGGAAGCCTGTTGAGAGGTCTGCACCTTCCTGTAAAGACCTGTCATCATCTCTCAGCTGCCTTCTATCCTGCCCCACCCATTCTCACTTGAGGATGATTGGCGGTACAGTGAGCAGTTCTTAGAAATTCCACATTCTGGCTTCTGTCTTGCTGACAGCAACTGAGTGGGAAAGCCACGTGCCTTCCCTTTTAAGAGAGAGCACAGTAGTTTCGCTGTCCTTAGGCTGGGGGAGGAGGTGGTGTCTCCTGATGGGTGAGTTCCATCCACTTAGCAATGCTCTGATAAACATCACCCTCCCAACCCCAAGAAATCGTAAGTTAAGGCAATAGGAGAGGCCGTTAGTTCACAGACATCCTGATAGCATAAAGGACTCAGGCATACATGGAAAGGTGGAAGGGCCCAAGCAGAGGCATTTGGAAGAAAGTCCTGGTGATCCTAGTGAAAAATCAGTTACCAAGAAGCTCATGGAGCTCAGTGTCAAGCTGCTCCACATGGGGGCCTGGATAGGTTTTAACTAGGGCAGCAGGTGGGTTAGCAGTTCAGCAGTCATAGCAGTTTCCTTCTGAGTGAGCCCGGAACTTGGAGAAGGCCATCCCTGATGGCACTCTCCTGGGTAGTCCCCACACATCTGACCTCCCACTGAGCCCTAAGAAGCACTCTCATTATGGGTGCTTCTACCCACTAGTCTACCATCTCCGGTGCCTAAAGAGCTGTGGCACTTCCTGGCCACAGAGCAGCTAGCTCAGATCCCAAATGGGACCCTAAAAATGCAGGATCCCCTGAGCATGCAGCAGACTTGAAGCTACCTACAAAACCTAACGTGTAAACAATGAAGCCACCTGGGTAGATTATCAATCAGGAATGAGCCTAGTTGTTTGTTTTGGATGTGTACTGAAAGTCAACAAATGGAAATAAACTTGGATCTCTGTCTCTCTGTGTGTGTGTGTCTCTCTCTCTGTTATTCCATTTTGGTTTTTTAACTCCAGGTCTTTGCAAATATAATACCTAACTTGGTCTTCTTAAACTGCCCTTTAAACTGTTTAGTACTATTACAATTTCTTCCCTTTGTTTTGGTTTCTGTTTTCAAATAAGTTTTTCTCTTCTGACTTGCAATTTGATCTTTTCTTGATAGATGATGAATGTTTGGAGAATAATAAATATGCATGATGAGAGGACAGGGTGAAGATCAAAGTTTGGAAAAAGAAGTATAAGGCTAGATTGAAGTTGGAATTCATCACACACACACGATATTTTACATATAACTTTTTATTTGAAGATAATTTGAGAGTTTCTGGAAAAGGTTTTAAATTTTTAAACTATATTTAGAAATTAAATCTTACATATCTTTGGGTTCCTTGAAAGCTCATATATTTTATGAGTACTTGTAGAGATATTTTTATATCATTGATTTGGAAATATTAGATCTTAGCTGAAAGCAGAATACCAGACGAATGTCTATCTGTATTTCATTGACTGTGCGAAGGCATTTGACTGAATTTGTGTGGATCACAACAAACTATGGCTAACTTTGAGCAGAAATGGAATCCCAGAACACTTGATTGTGTTTATGTGTAACCTGTACTTGGACCAAGAGGCAATCATTAGAACAGAGCAAGGTAAGACTGCATGGTTCAAAAGTCAGGAAAGGTGTATGCCGGGGATGCATCCTATCTACATACCTTTTCAATCAATATGTGAAACAGACCATCCAGGAGGCTAGGTTCTATGGGGAGGAATGTGGTATCATGATTGGTAGAATATTCATCAACAACCTGCATTATGCAGATGATACAATATTGCTTGCTGCAACTGAAGACCTAAGACATTTGCTGCAAAAGGTTAAGGACTGCAGCCTTAAATATGAATTGAAGCTCAACATCAAGAAAACAAAGATTCTCTCCATTGGGCCAATTGGCCAGCATCATGATAGATAGAGAAGAGATTGAGATTGTGGAGCCAAACAAGCTGAAGCTGTTAACAGTTAACACTTTTGGTACCAGCAGCTTCCAGGAAATCCAAAGGTCAATTGCACACTGGGAAAATCTGTCAGGGACCTCTCTAGAGTACTGAAGAGCAATGATGTCAATATAGAGACTAAAGTGCACCTGATTTAGGCCATGGTCTTTGCAATTACTTGCTATGCATCAGAGAGTTGGACAATAACTAAGGATGACAGGAGAATTGATGTGTTGGAATTGTGGTGCTGGAGAAGAACATTTATATTATGTGATATTATGTAGTCTTAGCAGACTACAAACAGGTTGATACTAGAGAGGATGGAACCAGGCTGCTCCTTAGAGGCAAGGATTTAGAAACCCCATCTGACATACTTACAGCATATTGTGAGGAGGAACCAGTCCTTGGAGAGGGACATCATACTTGTAAGGGTGGAGGGACAGTGCAAGAAGGGAAAACCCTGAATAAGATGGATTGACTCAGTGACTGGGGTAATGGGAGTAGCTTTGTCAGAGACAATGAAATTGGCTCAAGATAGAGCAGGATTCAGAGCTGTTGTACATAAGGTCACTAGGATTTGCAGGCAACTCAATGGCACATAACAATAACCTATGTTAGGAGAAAGTAGTTTTAATCTTTGGTGCCTTCTCATAAATCATCTGTTTCTCAGGGTAATGATCATTATTATGCGTTAAATTTTGTGGCCCTGAATTATATGCTGTGAATCCTAACATCTATGTTTCTGGTTATAATACCATTTGAGAATAGAGTTGCTTTGCTAATGAGAAAGGATCTGTATAGTGATTTTTGGAAGGGCTATACATCAAGCTCACCTGTGAACAGATGCTCTAAGAGACCAAGGATTGTTCCTCCAGAGTCAACCAAGAAAACCAACCTGCCTAGAGGCAGTATTTTTCATTAGGACTTCTGGCCTCCTCAACTTTAAGAAAATAAATTTGTTTTTGTTAAAGCCATTCACTTGTTTGTTTTAGCAGCAGTAGACAACTGAGACAAAACTTCATGTGCAGCCTAGATCTACTGTAGATAGAAAATAATGAGAAAATAGATTAAAATACTTGATTTCTCCAAAGAAGAAACTAAGCATCATAGTTGAAAAATTAGCTTCTTTTATCTCCTGCAGATTGACTGGCTGTGCCCTCACCAGTGCATGTTGCCTAGATCTTGGTTATGTTATTTTGAACAACTCAAACTTGAGAATCTTGGACCTTGGGAACAATGACCTACAGGATAAGGGAGTGAAAATTCTGTGCGAGGCTTTGAGACATCCAAACTGCAACATTCATCAACTTGGGTGAGTTCAGTTTTCCATTAGGAAAATGATACCTACATGGTTCTAACATAGCTAAAAGAAGTAAATAAATGATAGAAACAAAATGAGGCTGGACTGTAAATTATTCTCAGAAATCTGAATTACAGATCTCTGGGTCAATGCATTACAGGTTCTTTAGTATGCATTGCACATTTGTTTCCCTAGTGCCTTAGGTAGGATATGCATTAAGTGATGGTATAATGTTTAGATCCACTATGTTCTACCATCCTACAGACATTCTGTATTTCTCAAATTTATTTTGCCTATTAAATTGCCTTCTATTTGGAAAATGCCAAAACTTCACTCTGGGAGTTTATAGTCTAGTAAAATCTCTTTCTATGTTCTGGAGACCTGTTTATATCCAGTCTTGTATAATTTAGAATTATAAATGTTTAAATCTTTAACTGAGTCTGACCAGTACAATTGCTAAGTTTTGAATTAAAAAAAAATTGTACTCCTTATGTGTAGGAAACCTAGGCATCATAATATATATCATCCTTGAGGAATTTAACTATCTCTGAAAGAAATGTTTTCTGATTGTAAAAAAGTGTCACTTCCATACTTTTAAATTAATGATTTATTCCTTTTTATCTTGTGAACAATGTTATTGTGCTTGAGATTTAGCTTTACTGTTTCATGGAAGCTGGCTAAGCATACAAGAGTCCTATCAGAAATGAAAGCTTTTATTATTCACAGGATAGAAAGTACCATGAACTTCAGCATGTTTGGACAGTTACCCACATCCTGTAGGCAATGTGTAGGCCCCAGATGGGTGCCTGCACATATGTGGATTATATCAGATGAGGGGAACACTGAGTTTGAAGGAGTTTTATATATCAAGTCATAAGAAAGCCTGCTCACTGTCCTAAAGTGCAGTCCCTTCAGGTTGTTCATTGCAAATGCAACCCTAAAAACAGTCTAGATAGAGCCTTTGATTTTTATCAGCAAAACATGTAGTAGAGTAAAAGATCCATCGAGGGGGACCTCCAACAATATATCTATCTATCTATCTATCTATCTATCTATCTATCTATCTATCTATCTATCTATCTATCTATCTATCTAT